AATCACTTGGAATGAAAAATGTTTTGAAAAAGATTGATTTTTGTACTAATTCTTGTCAAAATTATTTCACAAATCATTCATTATGGCTGCAGCCCGCAGCCAAAACATGAGTTTGTTTTTCTTAAATACAAATTACAAAACCATCAAAGTAAAGCCAAATTTAAATTTAAATTACCACGATCGTAAAATTCTACTGCAGTAGCAAAAGTTAATTAAGCTTTTAAATTTCTGAAGCCAAATTAATAAAAATAAAATAAGTATTGAAGGTATTAAAAGTGGAGTAAATATGATGGCACGTGGCAACCCTACACAGCAGTTTGCTCTTTTGCCGCATTTTGAATCCCTCGGCGATCTTCATTTACACTGGTAATACAATCAATCCAGGGCCGGCTGCTGCAGCGGCAGCCGGGCTGATTGTGTGATTTGCCCGACAACAACGGCGGCGGCTCCATTAGGTGCAGCTTGAGTGAAGAGTGCGCGGGGCGAATTATATGTTTTTATCGTTTCGTGACTTGGTTTGCGCTGTGTATCGTTATTATGAGAGTTGAGCAATAAAAAAGAGGGCGGATGCTGCTCGCCGTAGTAATGCTCTCTTGGTGCTCGCAATGAATTTATTGAAAGGGTTGCTGCCTGGCAGTTTATGCGGCGTGGCTCGTAAACATGCGTGATTCTCATCTCGGGATTTAATACAGCGGCTATCTGTGCGCAAAGTGGCAGAAAATTGCCCTTCTGCCGCCTCCGCATCTACCGCCGCCGACGCGGCTGGATATTAAATTTTTTAATAACCGTCGCTCGCGCCAGAGGTATAAATTTCGCTCACCGTACATAATTAGTTGCAAAAATAAAAAAAAAAACTTCAAAAATCGCTTGCCGCGCGATTCCTCTCGATTTTGTTTATTCCCGTGGAAAGAAAGTTTTTGACTAATGGCCCAACTTTAAACTCGCCTTCCTCGGTCCAGGTCATCATTAATCAGAGGCAATGAGAAAACCCGTTTTCACGAATAAATTGATTAATTCGGTTTCAGTCGGAGCTTGCGGGCCGTTAAATAACTGGAAAGTTGTCCTAACAGAGTGGCCGCCATTAAATGTCTTAGCAGGCGAAAGAAGTTTACCAGCAGATTTAAAAAGTTGCGGGCCAAAGTTTGGCCATTTTGGCAATATTGCCGCGAAAAAGGACCCTTCGCTGCCGAGCAAGTGCGAGAGAGATTTGTATCATATTTAAACCGATCAATGAGCGCCGAATATTCGCTCTCTGCGCGCGGCCTTTTCACTCCTCCACCCCGTCCGTATTAGGAGCCAGATTATTTTTGGCCTTGATCCAGCCTCCCTCGCTTGTTTTGCCCATATTACACGAACGAAGCGGCAGCCAAAGCAGCGCGAGGGAGAGAGAAAGACAAACTCGCCGAAATCATAACAGCAGCAGCAGCTATAAAAGCGAACAAAGCAAGTGGCGCCGCCGCCGCCTCTGTGCTCTGCAAAATACAAAAATAATAATTGGCCGCCTAATGATTTAATGTTGTGCCGGGTGATTTATGAACGAACGTTCTTTGTTGTAATGATTTCCACCGAGCACGGCATCACTATATCGTTATTTATCGGATCGCATGATAAATAAAAGCGCTGCACCCCAATTTTCCTTTGCTCTGCTCGGAAAATGATCTGAAAAATCGCAAAATTAATAAAGACTGTGCAGCCGTGTTTGGTAATTAAACGGGCGTGCGGCATCGGCGTGAGAATTATTCAGAGCCCCAGGGAGGCGCTGTTTTTTTTTTTATTCCGAGTGCCAGATGAGCAGATTTGCCGCATACCATAAAAATACATACGTGTACTGTAAACACACCGCGCGCACACGCCACGCCGGACGCCCCGGCCGCCGCGCGCTCAGCCTTTATGATCGCGTAATTTAACAACTTGGCCTGTTATTGCTTAATTATTTACGCGCACCGCCGTCGACTCTCGCTTTTTTCCGACCGGCAGTTAAACGGGGCCGACGCCCTGCTGTCGAAAAATGCAAAATTTTGAACATCATTATTGAATAATAAAGAACTATTTTATGAGAATTAAAAACCCAAAGAAACCACTCGGAACGGGAAATAATTTAAATTAGTACTTTTGACTAAACACCTTTTACGTGGAATTACGTTCCGAGACGCGAGATACTGAGACAAAACCAGTGTAAAAAAGTTAGAAAATTCCTGTTGTGATAATTTTTGTCTTGTCTCAGTATCTCGCGTCTCGGAACGTAATTCCACGTAAAAGGCAGGTAAAAGGTGTTTAGTCAAAAGTACTAATTTAAACTATTTTATGCTTTGAAATCTGAGAAAAATAATTACTGTTCCCGTTTATTGTTAGAACAGAAATTCATGGCAACCCATAATTTATAAAAAAAAGATATGAGAAATTATTATTATAATTTAGCTATTTAAAAAAATTTTATTACAAAATGTTTTCTTTTTCTAAATTTTTTATTTAATATTATTTTCTAGTATTGTTAAAACTATTTTAAACATAGAAATTAATAAACTTAATTTAAAAAAGATTTTAGCAGACTCTTAATTTATTAATTTTTTTTAATACAATTTCATTTTACTTATTGGTATTAATAAAATTTGAAAATTTTTAAAAGAGGGGTAATGCAATTTAATAATATGTGTATTTTTAAAATTACTAATAAACAATAGTGCATAAATGTTTTTAATGATAATAATTATCTAAATAATTGATGTTTTTTATAATTGAATCAAATTTTAGTTTTAAATATTTATAAATTTATAATATCATTTTAAAATTATTATTTTATTATTTTTCAAATCTATCTGTTTAGTAATTCATAAATTATATAAAAATTTTTGTTTGGTTATTAAAATTTGCTTGTAAAACTTTACAATTTTGTGTTTCCCTGACCTTTGCAATAAGAAATGGAAAATTCTAAATTTGCTTTTCTTCTATTTGAACTTATGAAAAATGAAAAACACGATTTCTAAGCAATATGAATTTCTGATCAAGAATATTTCTCACAAATATCGGCGACTCAAATTCATATTTAAAAAAATCCATTTTTCGTCTTATTTAAATTGCTTATTTATACAAAATTGATATTAGAATTTCTCTTAATTATTGGCTTTTTGTCGGTCAAGATGAGATTGATTTCCATGCGCTCGTTTGCAGGGCGAGTTAGCAGACGGCAGCGTGTTTTGCGCGCGGCGCAAAGCGGAGCAGATAGCGCCCGCTCGAAAAATCTGTCATGAATGTGATTAATGAATTTTATGCATTAGCGGAATGTGCGAGCGAGCGAGCGAGAGCGAGAGAGCGCCGACGGTCAAAGAAAAATACACTGTTTTCCTAACCGATGGCCGAGTGCCGCATCAGACAAACCTGCGATTTTTTCCCTTTCGCAGCCGTCGCTTCTAGTCGGAAGTCAAACGGATAAAAGTGGGGCGCTCCGCTGTACTACATTTCTCTGTCTTTTTGCCTGCGAAATGCGACGCGAGCAATTTTCTGACGTGTTATTATCACGGCGGAAAATGGGCGTCGGCAGCGGCTCTGAAACAATAAATTAGCAATGCAGGCCGTGTCGCGCCGCCGCCGAGATTTTAAGCTAATTTGCGCGCAGCTTCATCAAAAACAAGCGCTTTTTTATTACAAGAGAACAGCCAGGGGTGGAGTTTTTATTGATGAAAAAATAAAAATGTACTGCGGGGGTTGATTTAGATGCACGAAAGGTGTGCGAAAGGAAATTAAAAAAGGTGTGGGCCAAGGGTGAGAATTTATGGAAGTAAAACGTTTAGAAAAAAAGCCATATTTTAGTAATGACATAAGTTTTCTCCGTGGAGGTATTTTTGTGAAATTTCAATATTTATTTAATTGTCCAAATTGTTTACATTAACTTGTTGAAAATAATTTATTTGAAAAGAATTTTTGGAGAAAACGGTACCACCAGTAGCAAGAATTTTGCCAAAACTTCCGAAATCAATAAGAACCCATCCGCCGCAGTAAACCTAGGCTGACTGAGTTTTGGTCTTACATTTAATTTTCTGACATTTGCGCAATTAAAATAAAATTGTTAGCCCCTGTTGTTAGCAAACTATTTTATTATAAAATTGAAAGCAGCTAGAAAAGATTCTCCGGATAACCTGTTCACGGACGCCTGCAACTTTGGTAAGCAGGCAACCCGCAAGTCATAAATGCGTCTCACGTCCTGCATTTTAAAATCTGCAGGCGCATTAGAAAAACGGAACTTGCTTGCAGTGTTTATTTTTTTTATAAAGAATCCTTCACTCCGAGTCACCTCAAATTGCAGTTAGGATGAAATATTTGTGGGTAAAACGGGTAATGGAATTAGATTTAAATAAACTTAAAACCTTCTAAATAATAATTTCAAAATCTAAATTTAAAATCATTACTGGAAAGGCTGTAAAATTTAAAACTATTATTGCTTTAGGGGAATTTTTTTAAATGGTGCAGATGCTCTTGGGCTCAATCTTTTCCTGGGAGTAGGTCTCATTCTCGCACAAGCGATTTTGCCGTTTTTCTGGAATTTTTAAATGATATTTATTTCAAAATTTAAGTGAAATTTAAAATTCTCTCTGGAAGGGCCGTTTAAAATTATTTATGCTATAGAGAATTATCTTAATGTTATAATTATTAAATTTATAAATGTTTTGAAGGGAACTTTTTAGAAATGGTGCAGATGCTGGAAGTAGGTGAATTACTCTCTTTTCTCGCACGGGCGATTCTGCCGTTGTTCTTGAATTAGCCGACTGCTCGAACGCCGCGTGTTATTTGGGTGATCGGGACGGCCGGACGGACGGTCAGAGGGGGTGCGCGAATGTATTTTGGACGCCTTGAGTCGAACGAACATGTATAGTTGAGAAGGGGGCTGCCGAGAGTAGTGGGGCCGCTACAGGACAGCGCGCGCGAGAGCGGGCGAACGAGACCTCGGAGGAGCGGGAGAAGGAGAGAGGAGCGGCCGACACTAGACTGGGGGTATCTGCCGCTCCACCGCCGCCACCGAGAGCGCTGTGTGTGTGTGTGCGAGAGCGAGCGAGCGAGCGAACGAGTGTGCCCGCCAGCCGAATGGTAGTAGCGGTGCTCAGGCGGCGAGTTATTTTTTCGGCACTGCAGCAGTAGCGCGAGCGAGGAGTCGAGTCGAGGAATCTTGCTTGCGCCCCCGATGGTCCGGTGAGAGAGAGAAAGAGAGCGAGAGAGAGAAAACAGTGTGTCCCGGTGGAGCGGTCGCGCGCGCGGTGGTGCACATTGTTCTCGCCGACCGATGATGATCATTAAGTAAAAGGACGAGGAGGCTGCAGCAGCCAGCAGACTCGGCGGACCCGCGGGCGGAACATGTGATGTTGCAGCTGCGAGCGGCCCGTCGACGAGTTCAAGCTTGGCTCGGCCCGGACAGAAAGCACCCCAATGTTTAGTCCCGACTCGAGATGGTATTGGCAGAGTAGTGCGGCAAACCTGTCGACGACGACGGAAGTGCATCTTGCAAAGCAGCAACCCCTTTCGTCTGAGCACTGTGAAGCGACCCGCAGGGTTCCACAATGCTGGATATTTTTCGCGGACTCAAGAACCTTATCAAGGTCAGTCATATCCACATCGATTCGTCCATATTCCGCCTGCACTACAGCATCACCGTGATGATATTGCTGGCCTTCAGCTTGATTGTGACCACTAGACAGTACGTGGGCAATCCCATCGATTGCATCCACACCAAGGATATTCCCGAGGACGTCCTCAACACCTTCTGCTGGATCCACTCGACCTACACGATTCCGTCGGCCTTCCTCAAGATCGTCGGCGAGGAAGTGCCCTACCCGGGGGTGGACAACTCGAGGACCACCTCGCCGTCCGACCGAAAGTACACCAAGTACTACCAGTGGGTCTGCTTCTGTCTGTTCTTCCAGGTGAGTTTCCATGTAATTATAATGAGTGAGTGCGGTCAACGGTCAGTCCGTCGTGTTAATTTATTTAATGGTAACTCGGCCGCGTGTGCCGCCGCCGCATTCGCTCGGCGGCATCGAGCGACGGACGCGCGGCGGGGCGCGGGGATATTCGTGATGGATTTGCACGCACTGCAGATATTCACCGAGCCCCCGATAAATAACGAATCGCAATTTGTATTAACGCCACGGTTCCTTTTTTTTGTCTGCGTTATTATTATATATTCTAGTGTGTTGTTTCTTTCTTGGCAAACGCACACACACACAATTCCGGCCGAGAGGGAAAAAACTGCTCTCTGGCGCTCTCCCTAACCCAACAGCAAATAAAGCCTATTTCTGATTAGTCAGCAAATAAAACCAGCCGCCCTCTTACACGAGACGGTAGTGTCTCTTGTCTGTACTGCGGCGGATTTTCAAGTGAGAAAGAGAGAGGGTTGTTCAATCTAATCAACAATCAGCAGCCCGGAATGCACCCCCGCTATTTTTTTTTTTTTACTCCGACACACCACCCAAAGACCTACTTTCGAAAGGAAAATGTGTACGGTTTCCGAGCGAAATAATTTCACAAACTTGATTCGTGTCATTTTTTTTTTTTATTCCTCTTCGCCGCGGAATTCAGATTAAAGTCTCTCCGTGATTGCCGAAGCCCCACGGCGCTCCATCTTGTGCACACGCGGCGTGTCCGCAAATAGCTGCAAAATCGCTTTTTGCCGCGCTGCGAATTACGTACGGAATCGATTCGCGAAACGGAAATTCCGCTCATTCAAGTTTGTTTGTTGTTGCTTTACGAGATTATTAGCAGCCAAGAAGTGATCAGTGAAGCACTTCACTCAACTTTTATTTGCCAATCTCGCCGCCCAGCAGCAGCGAAATTGGTTTCTCTGGCGTGTGCACATGGCGGCGTATTTTTCCAATTTCCTAAAAACAATTGCTCCGCCTGCACGATATGATATTTTTTCTTTCTTTCGTTTCCCCTCTGCGAAGGCCTGGTTCGCAACGAAATCCGTCCCGAGTCGCGGAAAATTAACCGAATTAATTAGCAAATGGGACGGCCGGTTGTGCCTGCAGCCCCGAAATTAATGAGACAAGGACCCGAAATTGCTGGCCTCCGCAGCCGCTCGGTCGTTTGCCGCGCCGAGACTGCAAAAACACGCCCGACTGCTCTCGTGAAACAGACACTGAATTTACAATGCAGTGAGCTGTGTATTAAAAATGGCAGACGTGTGTTTTCAAAAGGGTTGAAATTTCACTGTGCAATTGTTGCGAGTTTATTTGCCGTTTTATTAAGCAGATGCTGTAGTGAGCGCGTAAAGTACGAGCATTCCAATGCGGAAGGCCTTATTTCAAACATGCGCCTTAGGTCTGCCGTGTTACGAGAGTGAAAAGAGGCGACGAGAGCGTGTGTGCGTGTTGCGGAAAGAGCCAGCGAAAGCTTCTCCCCTGCCCTCTTTAAATTGAATAATCCACAGACCGATTTCATTTCCACTCTTATAATTCCTTTTATTCTATCAGGCACGATTTATAACAGTTATAAAATTTGATGAACACTTCTTTTCTGCAAAAATTGGAAAAAATGAATAAAAAAAATTCATTTAAGTTTAGTTGTTATTTTCTTTTAAAAATGATCTTTTTATAAATGTTAGTTATTAAAAATTGAAAAATGATAGAATAAGAAATAAAATGACTTCTTTTCATCCAAAAATGAAAATTAAATTCATAAAAATGTGAAGTTTTCATCAAGTTTTTAAAGTCATTGAAGGCATTTTCATATACTTTGGAATAGAATAAAAAATCATATGACGACCTATAATCTGCAAAAATAGAAAAAAAAATCATAAAGTTTTCGTTTTACTTTTATTTTAAAGTCGATAAAAGCATTTTTTTTTATAATGTATAGAATAAAAATTGAAAAATGATAGAATATAAAATAAACTAAAGACTTCTGTTCTGGAAAAATAGAAAAAAAAAATCAAAATAAAACAATTCATAAATGTTTAGTTTTTATTTTGTTTTTGAAGTAGAAAGCATTTTTTTTTTGTCAATATTTGGATAAAAATTGAAAAATGATAGAATAAAATATAAAACTAATTTTAAATTAACAATTAAGTACTGAAATTTAATATCTTTAAAATAGCCACGCCAATATCATCGTGTTTTTTTGATTAATTTTCATGGAATATTATAGCCCTCGTCTTTCAAAGACGGCCCTTTATTTCCTCATTCTATTTATTCCCTTTGGGTCGTCGTAATGAGCCTTTCGCGTTATTGTTTGGAGCAAAATCAGCATATTCTGTGGCGCGACGCGTCAATACAACGCGCCCCGATAATAACAACAATAATAAAGCATCCATCTTTTGCTCGGCGGCGAACACACCTTTTATCTGCGCCACCTTTATTGTCGCCGCGCCCGCTGCCGATAGGAATTTATTTTAATAAACGAGCTCTTTCTCGCGCTCTCAAGTCAAAGGAGGTGAAAAATAGCCGCACGAGTAGTGTATCGATTTGTTATGTGTTTTTGCTCGCGGCTGATGAATCAATACTCCAATTTTCTGCGAGTGCCTCTCACTGGAGAACGCGAGCGAGCGAGCGCGCGCGTCGCCGACGCAAATGATGTTGATGAGCAAATGAATTATTAAGAAAGGTCAAACAAAAGCGAGCGACGAGAGCTGCTTTACGATGGCTCTCAAAGGGCTGCTCTTTTTTTGCAATTCTGTACAAAATCTGCTAGAATTGGTTTTGATTTACCTTGTTGTTGAATTCAATTTATTTCTTAATTGACTTGATTTGTGAAGAATAAACAACAATTAGAATTGAAAAATTGAAATCCACCTCGACTGTTACCATTCAATAAGAATTGAATTAATAATTTAAGTTGATGAATTTAAAAAAAAATCAAATATAAATTCAAATTTAAACAAAATTATATATTATTAAATTTGTTCATGTAAAAAAACCAAATATTTGGAAAAAAACGGCACCACTACTAGTAAGAATTTTACTAAAACTTTCAATATCAAAAAAACCCCACCACCGCAGTGAGCCTCGGTTGACCAAGTTTTTGATCTTATCACTTATTTCTTATTTTTAGTTTTTCTGAGTTAGAAAATTCTTCTTTTTATGTTTCGCTCAAAAGTTATTATGCTATTTTGCTATAATTTTCCTTCCTCTTTCAATAATTAATCAAAAACATTACTTATCATCATGATAAATTGTCAATTGAAAATTTTCTGACTCGCTCTCCAGCAAAAACAATTGCGCAGAATGGCAGAACTTATGAAAATCCAATGTGTGTGCCAAGCGAGCACCACTTACTTCTTTTCTTGCTCTTTCTCCTCGAGTTTGAAAATCGTAAATTAATCTCGCCGCAGCGCGCCATTGTGGCGGTCGTCGTCGGTCCGTGTACGTATATCGAGGAGTTGAAGCACGCCGGCCTGCTTTTGACCCAATTACACTCAAGGGTGTGATGGAAAAATTAACCGGCGCTGCGCGCGAGACAAAAGACAAGCATCTCTTCCCACCAGCTTTTTTTTTACTTGATGCTTAATTTCGATCGGGGCGGACGGACAGACTCACTCGCGGACACACGTGATTCTTCTTTATATACGCGATCGAAAGCAGTTGAGAAAGAAAATCAGGCTGCGATCCAAATCAGCACCCCTCGTTTCTTGCTCCCTCGCTTCGCCTCCCGCCCGCCGCAGCCGCCGTCGGCCGCGCGCCCGCTCATTGATTTTCCAAAACGCAGTTGTATAAATCTTGGCCCCTTAAATCGATTTATGGCCGGCAATATTTTACCAGCCATAATCTGAGTAAAGAACGCCTCTTAAGGAATGCTCGGGCGTATATAAAAAATTTAAAGAGTTATACCGACTGCTTGGCTCGCTGCTTCTTTCTTTCCCTATTTCGCTGCTGCTCTGCGGGAGAGAATCTCGTACAAAAGCAGGGCCAGCCAGGTTTTTGCGCGCCCATCATTCCACTCACATGAATGCACCGTGCGATTCCAGATATATATTTATATAAATTGTCGTTTTCACTCGATTCATTAATTACGCCGCCCTGCTCTTTGCTCGGAAAGTGAGGCCGAATCGAAGGCGGATTTTTCTGTTTCGCTCTATTTACGCTCGGAAATGTCACTCTCGCTCAGCGTTGTCATGTCGACGCACGGTGGCGCGCATCTTTCCATTATTGTGTGACACTCGAACGGCTTTTAATTTTTTGTCCCTCGCACGCCCAAACGTCTTGTCAACTCGAGCCTTTTTGCTGCGGCGAAAAATACAGAAGGAAAAGAATAAGACGAATTTTTCTCCGATGGGCAAATGTAAGAATTTAATCTGTAGATTTTTTTGCTTAAAAAGGCTCACGGTTCCAAAAACTTCATGAGAAATGGAATTTTATATCGAGGAGATGAGTGACAAGAGATCGGCTTTTTCCTTGTTGTAAAAATTGTTTTTATTAAAAAATTGCTTTACCAGTTTCGGTCACGGTCTGCGACCATGTTTCATCAGCAAATAAAATATAAAAAAAAATCAGCAAAATTCTAAATATAACAAAATTTAACAAAAATTGAAAATCTTTAAGCTATCGAATTAAAGTAACAACCTATTTAAGCTCGACGACTTTTACAAGAATGAGCTAAAATTTTGTGTTTTTGTTTTTCAATTTTGCTGATTTATTTTTATTTTTCTTGCTCAGGAAATAGAGTCGAAGACCGTGACCGAAATTGGCGAAATTGGTAGAGCCGTTTAACATTTTTATAACGAGGAAAAAGCCCGACCTCTTCACTTCCATGAATTTCACATTAATTGTAATTTATTGATTCAATTAAGTATTCTTAAATTTAACTAACAACAAGAAGAATGAATTATATACAATATTTATTTATGATATATTTAAATGATGATTTTAAATAAAGTTGAACCCAAAAAAAAAAAAAAAATGGGTGGTGCCTTCTGCACCACTAATAAAGG